CCAATGATGCCAATATCCTCCTCTTTAATTTTTGTTAACCACTATTCGTTCAACATGGCCACTTTTTGCTGATTTTAAAGAAAAATGATCTAATAATCTCTCTGGACCAAAATCCACAACAAACAAAATCTGAACGCATTTTTCGTACACATTCTGCCGTATTACCATGAGTTTCAAAGTAATGTCCCAATATTTCCCAGCGTATACAAAAAAATATTCGTTCTACAAAACTATTTATATTTCAAAAGAGACATGAGCTAAGTGTTTCCATTTGCGAAATGAGCACTAGTTAAACAAGAAAATGTTAAATGGCGGACCCTGTATTAGGATTTAATATTCGAACGAATTCCATTTTAAACTAAAGAATTTATTGAAATTGGTTGGAGAAAGTAGTAGACGGCACCATTATGTGGGGCCTACAGACAATTCCATTGAAAAATGTAGCTAAAATCATCAAAATACCAAATATCTTAATCTTATCGTTAAATGGGGGATATACGGACCTATATAGACAATTCTCCTTCAGAGGATAAAGTACTTACAAAGAACTCCTTGTGTAGAATTTCAGACAATACCAATCTGGCTAAAATCATCAAAATATCGAATATTGGGGTGTACCATTATATGGGGGCCATAAGCACTGATATAGCCCATCTTCTAACTCGACCTGCCTGCAGACAAAAGACTGATTTGTGCAAAATTTATACTTCCTATTTTAATTCGTTTTGACTCTAACGTGGTTACAACAGACGGACGGGGAAAATCGTCTTAGAATTTTTACTGATCAAGAATACATATACTTTGTTAGGTCTAAAATTATTTTTCGATGGGTTACAAATGAAATGACAAACTTAATATACCTTTCAAATTATGTATGCCATTTAAAAAAGGGATTTAGTTATTGTTATTAAACTTTACTTAATTAATTACTTTAATCTCATTTTTATTTGTAGTCATTAAATCTCAATGTTTTGACACTTATCTAGAGAAAGCGGCATTTAATCTAAAAACGCATACTTAAGATATGTATTTGTATTTCTATGTATGTGTTTGTAATAAAAACACAAATAATAGCATCTTTTTATAAAAGCAAATTATTGTTATTACATTTCGCTCTATCTGAATTATGAATAAATTAAAAACAATACTGGTAAAGCGATCTAAAAGCAACAATGTTTATTTGCCCAACAATTAACTGAGTTGAAATATGAGAAATTTGCATGATAAATCATAAACTTCCTTTAGTATCTACACGTCATAATTGTTCTTCTACTGATCTTGATTAAAATGATATAATAAATTTAATGCAATCCTATTATTAATAATTAGTTTTCTGTGTCTTTAGTAAACAAAGATTGCAGTCTATTCGGTAATTGGGGTACTTCAAACAACCTTATGTAAATATCGTAATTATGCATACGTATGAAATTGTGAATGAGAAGGAGAAGAATTTCCGAAGAGGAAAGAAAGAAATGTTATCTTATATACATTATGGAAGGCTGGAACGCACTCAAACTGATCCGTACCACATTGCGATTTAGTGTTTAAAACTGATTTTTAATTTTTTTGTGCTCTACCCTACTAGAGGATATACTAACTTCTTAATTTTTGTTACTCCTCGATTCAAAGTAATATTCTGAGTCGAATAAAAAGGCCACATTTCTGTCTGCCCGTCTATCTTTTGTAATCACGCTATATTTCGAAAAAATTAAGATGAATGGCCAACATTTTGTAAAATATATCTATTTAGTCAGTAGATAGATCAAGTCTAATAATGGATCATATCAAATGTATTCCGCGTATTCGTATAACCTTCATATAATAGTGTCTGCCAATAATCCATATTTTGATTATTTTAGCCACGCCAGTGTTTTATATTTGCTTCTAACGAAAGTGTTTCAAATTTGGAGTCTGATGTTCGCAATAGATGCCAACCACTGCAACATCAAACTATCCATATAGGCCCTCGTTTTTCTGTAGCTCCCATATATCGGTACATCCTGTACATAATAACAATGACATCATTTTTTTGGGTTTGTTTACAATTCGGTATATTTAGTTCATAATGGATTATACCTTCGGAGGCAAAACAATATGTATATATGTGTATGTCATCTTATAGAACCCACATAAATTCGCCTACCTGTATTCCGTATTTTTATTATTTTAGACACACTTTTCAGTAGGATTGTTTCAAAATTGATATTTGAAATTCGCAATAGGGTATAGCTACCACTAATGGTACCCCCACTTTTTTAAGACTGCATTTTCCAATCGATTTCACTGGCATTTGCAGTTTAATATGGATCTCCATGTTCCTCACAAGCTTTTTTTACTTGTTTTTTGTTTTAAGTTTTAATCTTGTACATGTAGGAGCAATTTTAATTCTAAGCTCTTCAATGTAAAAATGTCTATATAGTTCCATGTTTTGGCATTGATCCAATATATTAATAAGTACCGATTTTAGTCATTATGCAGTTCCTAGATAGTAATAAAATAATTCAACTCAAATATTAGTCAATATAGATCTCTCTTTGACAGTGGTTTAATTTTTCGACACGATTCGATTGTCAGTATTTTGAACCAAAGTGACATTTACACCTTAGAGTCTAAATGGCAAATTGACGTCTTGACAAAAACAATTATAATGGTTCACATTTTAACAAAGTAGTTGTACAGACCAGTTTTATGTATTTTCACAGTTGAACCGAAAGATAGGAATTTTAATGTATCAATGGGTAGATGGTAGGTCAAATTTTTGCTAACGCTTCCATAATTGATACCATCCAATCTCAAGTTTGTTTTTGGACTCTATTTTCAATATCAAAATATGAACCAGGGACATCATTGTTATGGAGTGTATATTATGGCTAAATACCAAGACGGATGAAATATATATACATATGGGAGCTATATCTGATCGAATTTTCGAATTGGTGCATAATAAACGTAAAATCGGGCGAAGATACTTCTCCATTGGGTTGCACTAGTGCTCACAGACCGACGTCTACTTTTGTAAGAGATCTCCCTAACCACGCCCCAATATAATACAATGTTTCTACTTTTCAATCTATCACAGATACCTGTGACTACCCCAAGATTGGACTTTGCCTTTGCATATATGAACCTTGCCTTTTCCATGCATTGCCCAGACACAATATTAGAAGAATATTGTACCAAACAACCTATTGTTTTTACTCATATTTGGGAAAAGAAAAAGAATTGCTACAAAGACCCAAAATTAATTTTCATTCGTGGCATAAAAAAACTAATGGAAAAACAAGTAAAAAAACATTAACACCTTAGGCTAAAGGAAACATTTTTATATAAAAGTATCTGAATTCAAGCTTGTTTCACTTTAAACTTCATATACCAGTAAGAACATTTGGATAATGTAGTTATACTTATCAAAAAAAAAAAAAAAAAACATAAAGTGAATGAGGCCGTTATGTAGCCATACCAAAACGGGGACCTCTATGGACAATTTTATACTTGAAGGATTGTCAACAATCAAATCTTCTACAATACCAAATTTGAAACATTTATGTGGGTAAATGTGACTAGGATAATTAAAATACCGAATATCTGTGGGTATCATTATATGTGCGCTATATGAAAACGTGGAACTAAATATTCACTTTTCCGCCACCGGAGTATAACCTATTATGAACTACAACTACCAATTTTTAGACAAATCCGTGGAAAAATGTGGCAAAAATCATCAAAATATCGAACATCGGGAGGTGCCGTAATATGGGGCTATACCAAAACGTGGATATATACATACAATTTTTCGCTACACGAGCTAGAAATTATTATGACATACAAATACCAATTTTTAGATAAATCCGTTAACACCTTAGGGTAAAGGAAACATTTTTATATAAAAGTATTTGAATTCAAGCGTGTTTCACTTTAAACTTCATATACCAGTAAGACCGTTTGGATAATGTAGTTAAACTTAGTTAAACTTTTGGCAAAAATCAGCAAAATACCGAATATCGCCGTTATTTGGGGGCTATACCAAAAGGTGGAACTACACATACGATTTTTCGCCACCGGAACTAGAACCCATTATGACCCAAATACCAAGTTTTAGACAAATCCATGAAAAAAGCGGCAAAAATCATCGAGAGGTACCGTTATATGGGGATTATACCAAAACGTGGACTGATATATGTCTTAGTTTCAATATCAACCATCCTAGACACAATACAAATTGTCCTGCCAGATTTTGACGATCTACGTCAAATAATGTGGGCTGTATCGTGATTTTAACAGACAGACGGAGATCGTTAAATCGACTTAGAATTTTATGCTGATTTTAAATATATATATATATATATATATATATATATATATATATATATATATATATATATATATATATATATATATATATATATATATATAAATACTTTATGGGGTCTTTTTCCACTTTTCAACAAAAAGTAGAATGAGCTTTTTCTATGTAATATAAATATAGATATGTCGACCTTTTATTCCACTATAATTATTCTGCCATTGATTTTCCTCGTTTCGTTTGAACTTTCTGTTAATATGCAAGATCTCTTTCTTTAGAACTGTTGTCAAAGTATTCCTATGCCAATTATATTTTTATCATAATCATCAGTTGTGTATTTTTTATGACGACGACGAGGAATATTATGTAATTATATTATTGAATTGTTTAAAAACGATTTACACTCATAACGCCAATTATTTTAGGTCATAATAATAAATTCTACAATTGCCAATAAAGACGAATGAATTTGTAATGAACTTACAGCTTGTTTGTCTGTCGGCCTGCGTTTGTTAACATTTTAGTTAGTCACTCAGTCAATAATTTTCAAGTATGTTTAACTAGTTAGTTAATATATTGGCAGCAGAGACTGACTATGTAAACGGGTGTTCGTTCTCAGTCTCGTCACTGGCCCCAATCAACTCCCTACTGCGCCTCCCTGTCGATAGGGACGATGGATAGATCGTATATCTAATATCATGAGCCATTTCATTGTTCGTTAGTAGATTTTATAAAAATGCTATTCGCCGTGCAACAGCGCAACAGTTGAATTTACGCGCTCGTACTCTCTTAACATACTCACCTTGCCGGCAAGTCGCACTAATTAGTCAGTCATCGCGACCCTGCACTTCAAAAAGTATAGCAAAGCGAAGCAAGTAAGACGCGCACGCGTTTAAACACTATTTCAAAAAAGGATCGTTTTGATTTATCCGAAATAAATATGGAGCTAGTTATCCTTGTTAGCAGGAAATTGTGGCCATCAATGTTATTGCTTTTATTCTTAACTGTGGGCTTCATAAATGGTTCACTCGCCTTTGACTATTTCAAAGAAAAACGTAAGTTGCAACTAAAATAAGTTACAAAATTAATTTCTGTCGGAATCTTCATAAATGTTGAGAAGTAAAAAACAAAATTAAGTTCGGCCGGTTTGATCTAAACACCAAAAAAAGATTTGCTTCGCAAGGTACATTTCGGTAATCCCAAAATGTGTTGGAAAGATGTTCGTCGAAACAAACATGAACCGAAATAAAGAAAAGTAAAAAAGCAGCTAAGTTCGGCCGGGCCGAACTTTTAATACCCTCCACCATTTGGAATGAACTTGAAGTTTAAAAAAAAAAACATCCGGAAACTACAACTTAAATGAAAACCGTTATGTGAGACTATACGAAGTCGTGGACCGGCTTACGAAATTTTTTGACATAGGCTGTAGAATCTATTACGAACCTCAAATACCAAATTTGAAACAATTTCGGTGAATAATATTGCACAAATCATAAAAATACCGAGTATCGGGAGGTACCATCATATGGGAGCTATTCGAAGACGTGGACCTGAACAGACAATCTGCTGTCATAGGCTGTAGCATCCATTACGAACATCAAATACCAAATTTGAAACGATTCCGGTGAATTATGTCGCTAAAATTATCAAAATACCGAAAAGGCGGAAGGGGCTACACGAAGACGTGTTTTAACCATTAAAACACTCCCTGTGAATAATGTTGATGAAATCTTCAAAATGCCGAATATCGGGAGCTACCGTTATATGGGGGCTATACGAAGACAAAATTTTACCCTTCTATCTCAATTCGTTCGAAAGATAGCGTGGTTACGACATATATTTATTATTATACTAGCTGGCCCGGACCGCGTTGCCGGCCCGTAATTTTATTCTTTAATGCTTTCATATCATCCACCTTGGAAATGAGGGTATATTAACTTTTCATTCCATTTGTAACATCACAAAATGTTCGTCATAGACCCCATTAAATATGCATATATATTCATAATCAGCATAAAACTCTAAGTCGATTTGTCCGTCTGTATGTCTGTTTGTTTAAATTACGATACAGCCCACATTATTTGACGTATAGCGTCAAAATTTAGCCGAAAAATTTGTATTGTGTATAGGATGGTTGGTATTGAAAATAATCTATCGGTTCACGTTTTGGTATAGTCCCCATATAACGGTATCTCTCGAAATTCGGTATTTTGATGATTTTTGCCACATTTCTCTTCGGATTTGTCTAACACATATAACGATACCTACCTATATTGGGTATGTTGATAATCCACACATTTACGCGTATTATTGTTTCAAATTTGGTATTTTAGAAGGTTTGATAGATGACAATCCTTGAAGTATAAAATTGCCCACAGAGGTTCCCGTTTTGGTATGGCCCCATATAACGGCCTCATTCACTTTATGGTTTTTTGATAAGTTAACTGCATTATCCAAACAGTCTTACTGGTATATGAAGTTTAAAATGAAACACGCTTGAATTTAGATACTTTTATGTAAAAATGTTTCCTTTACCCTCAGATGGATAATAGGAATAATTCTGCCCGGCCGAACTTAATTTTTTTTACTTGTTTTTAAAGTGATATGAATTACTTGTCATTGAAATTGCGCGTTGGAAACCCCATAATTTCCATATCTTTTGTCATAGTATAATTCAAAGACGATTAAACAAATGTCCGGCTCCTTAAATCATATGATGGTTATACAAAACGTGATCGGTTTTTGCATAGATGGTTTCTTCCCAAATTACCAACATTTGCCGAAATTAGTATGAAAATATGGTTAAAATGTAAGATATACTTGAAATCGGGTTGTATCCTTATCCCGGGGTTATGGTCCATATCATGAACTGCAAAAGTGATTTAAGGTATCGTGAAAGTTTAGGAAGAATTTCTGAAAGAATAGAAATCCTTTTCCCTTTATATTCGGTATTTCACTGATTGCAGTCCCAAGGATTTTTGCATACTGAGTTCTCATTGGACGGATTATTGTCATGTGATAGAAGTAGGTAGGTCCACGTGTTGAAATGAGCCCCATAACGTTTTGTCGGTTATTTTTGTTTATTTAAATGTGTTCGCATCTTCCAGCTGAAGCACGATGTAGATCCTGGAGTTGAACGCTAAATGCCAATTTCAGACATGAAAGATCGCCATTTAACATCTTATTGCGTACTATTTCATTTTTTTCGCTGGATTTTTACAGCCAATATTTAAAGGTCCTTATGAAGTTTGGTCCTTACTATTATTTTGAAATTTGATTCCATTGAAAAAATGTTCTCAGTTTTTCCCTATTTTAGAGTTTTTGCAGTGCAATATGCTCTTTTTTGATTTTTTAGCAATTTTGGTTTGACCACGTTAAATTATTTTATTTTTCAGTTCCGCCACTCCATTATTTTCGTCGCTTTCTACTACCCAAAAAGATTACACATCATATTAGAATTCCAAAAAAAAAAAACACTACAAATGTACATTCCGAAATAGTAAGTCAAAATGGAAAAAAATCATGCAAAATAAAACATAACTATTGTACACCTCAAAAGTCAAAATGAAAATTTTAAAATTTCACATTTTTACGCGGTTTTTTTTGGATTTTATCCTTTTCTGCCAAGAGACAATTCCGAATTTGTGTAAATCGTTAAAATCAGATCAGCGGTTCTTGAGTTATAAGCGTAGTAACTAACACAACTTCCTTATATATAGACAGATTAGAAGTATGCGTGGTCAGTTCCCTGGCGCCCAAATAAATTCCTAAGTTTGGAGGGAAAGTCAACAGTATCTCGTGTAATAATTTTCAAAGCGATATCTTCATTATCTGGCATATATAAAGATTTTAGATAAATCAAGATAGTGGGCGTAAAAGTAGGCGTGATCAATATTTTTTTCTTTGAAAACCTAACTCGGGGTATGACGAACCTTTGTACAAAAAATTATGCGAATCGGTCCAACCGTTTTCAACTGATTCCGTTACCAACAAACAACAATTGATTTTTATATATATAGATACTAGCTGGCCCGGTCCGCGTTGCCGGCCCGTAGTTTTTGTCTATTATGCATATATTCCCAAGCATAATTATTCACAGATATGACTGATATAAGTGTTCACGTACATGTCGATTTAAAGTGTTTTAAAATACCTGTACCCATTTTTAACCAGTGGGCTTCAATATTTAAAAATTATTCTTTATTTTGTTCACAAAAAATCCACTGAATTCAATATGATAATACAAATTGAAAAAAAAAATTGACAAAAAAAAGAATAACAAATTGAAAAAGTCTTCAACTTTTTCGCTGATTTTTTACAGCAAATGTTTTAAGATCCTTCCTTACAAAGTTTGTCAATAGAATGTACTATTACTTTAAAATTCGATTCCATTGAAAATGTTTTTTTGATTTTTGCAATGAGATCTCTTTTTCATGATTTTTCGGCGATTTAGAAAAAGTAATTATCTTTTAACTTTGGTGTAACCGCGTTAAATTATTTCGATATCATCTATTCCGTTTCGCCACCACATAATTCGCTACTACACTTCCATGTAACCCGCCATCAATTTCAGTTCTCAAGAAATCAAGTCAATTAAATAAATTGGTATAAATATTCGAATTCAAAAATAAAATATAAAAAAACACTACAAATGTACATTAGAAAAAAGTAAGTCAAAATGGAAAAAAATCATGCAAAATAAAACATTACTATTGTACATTTGAAAAGTCAAAATGAAAATGTTAATATATCACATTTTTACGCGATTTTTTTGGATATTATCCTTTTCGGAGAGTAGACAACTCCGAATTTGTGTGAATTGTTAAAATTAATCCAGCGGTTCTTAAGTTATAAGCGTAGTAACTAACACAACTTACATTTATATATATATATATATATATATATATATATATATATATATATATATATATATATATATATATATATATATAGAATAGATTATATTTTAGAATTTTACCCTGATCCAGAATATATATGTATACTTTGTAGGGTCTATTATGAATATTTCGAGGAATTACAAACGGAATGACAAAGCTAATATACCCTCCAGAGAATAATGGTGGGTATAAAAATAAATAGATGTTCGTGGGAAAATGTTGGTACAAAGAAGAAAATATATATATTCGTTAAATGGCGCTGTATCAATCAGTTATCAATGACAAGCGCCGTGGTTGTAAGATAAATCATCGAACAATGATGAACCTGGACATACAATTTTCTTTCCTGGGCTGTAATATCCATTACAAGCTTCAAATACCAAATTTTAAACAATTCCGGTGACTAATGTCGCTAAAATCATCAAAATACCGAATATCGGGAGGTGTCGTTGTAAGGGGGCTACACGAAGACGTGGACCTGCACCGCAATTCTCGATCATAGGCTGTAGTATCCATTACGAACATCAAATATCAAATTTGAAACATTTCCGGTGAATAGTGTCGCCTAAATCACCAAAATACCGAAAATAGGTCGGTACCATTATATGGGGACTATACCAAAACATGGACCTATATGGTCCATTTTTAATACCAAAGTTCTGCAGACATAATATATATTTGAGTAAAATTTTATCAACCTGCTTCATTTCGTCAGGAAGCTAGAGTCATTTCCACAGACGGACATCGCTAAATCGACATAGAATTTTATGATGATCAAGAATATATACTTTGTGGGGTCTACTTAATATACCCATACTAAGCCCATACTTAATATACCATATACCCATACTAAGGGTATAAAAACGCCAATTCAAGTGTCTTCCTTCCATTTTAGATATTCTTTTAAAATCACTTGGGTTTCCCCGTAAATATTTTTTCTGTAGCACAGTTTAATTTACCACTCGTTGCACTCCTCTGCTGTGAATATTGGGTACATTGCACAGTGGTCGCTGCCATTGGCCAAAATTCAAAAAATGAAAATCAGATATTTATTATCAAATGTGTACATATGAACTCTTAAGAGGTTAAACTTTTTAGAAAACATAATAATCTTGGCTTCATTGCAACGGGACACTTCGAAAATAGCATCAAAAAAG